AACCAAATATATTTTTATATATTTTATATTTTATATATAAGTTAAATGAAGTGAACACAGAACCAAGGTTGACTCACAGATGTGTGCCAGAGTTAGCCTTTCTTCCTTCTATGACTTTGACCATAAGTGTGTCTTAATAGTATTGCTTTTATTTCTGTGAAAAAATGCACTTGATTCAAACTTATACAAATATTAAAGTCATTTCAACCTACTTTTTGACTCAACTCACTTGAGATAGGCAATGTAAAACCTACATATACATCTACATCTCTATCTCTATCATGCCTGTTTATCATCTATGTATCCGTTTTTGTGTCCTTTCATGTATTTTTTTCTGTGTCTATAAAACTTAGTGGTTGGGAAACCAACTTTATCAGTACTGTAAATTTGTATAGTTAGTAACGTAAACCCTTATATTAATGAAACTATGATAAAATCAAAAGGTTTATTATTCATCACGGTTTTCTCTTTCATTTGTCTTCAAGTTTTTCCCTACATTGAATGTAGTAAAGACCTGTTAAAAAATATGTACCATGTTAAAAAAAAATCTCCCTGTGTCGATCATAGACACATTTATTACTTTTAAACCTTAACACAAACATTAGCACCAAAAGACTATTTCATTCTAGAAAGAATTACATAATGTAAGGATTCAGGCATTATGCTGGTCTGCCCCTATCATCTGGCAGAATGCACTCAGGGAGTACCCTGGTCAGCCCAGGTGCAAAGGACCCATTTAGAAGAAAGACCCTCACCCATTCATGCTCTTTCCTGCTCTCTTTCGCTCACTCTTTCCCGCTGTTGCCCTGTTTTCATGTGTCTCCCTCTTCTCTTCTATCTTCTTACTGTCGCTGTGTCTCTGTATCTCTTTTCTCTTTCCTCCCTCACCTCCCTTTCTAATGAAACCTCTCACTAAGCTCTGTCTGCCTGGCATGTTTGTCCCCCGCCTAGGTCACCTTAGCCTGCTATGGAATCCGCCAACGTTCCCCTCGTGCTTTATTATAACAAGTGCTACTTTAGTCTTTATTGTTCCATAAACTCCCAAGTATCACTGTCTGCAGCCAACAATCTTTAACTCAAAAGCAGAAAACTATGAACGACATAGCATGCACTGTAGAAAACACAGAACTCCACTACAGCATTTCTCAGAGTATTTCTGGGACAGGAAACATCCCAGAAATGCTGCATTAATAATATTTACTCATCACAAATCTATTTGCCTCACAAAACAAAAGTAATGCTACTTAAGTAGCAGGGCCTGAAAATTCATTTTACCATAATAAGAAAACAGTAGGATGTAAGGGAAAGTGTGATGAAGGTTGAGAGAAACAAATAGAAAAGAAAAGCCTGGTTTTATAAGGTACATTACTGATAAGCTAAGCTCCATTATTAGACACAATCTCAATTCTTAGATGACTAAGTTGAGAATCCATATGAATCACTAAGGAGTAAAATAGAGACATTCAGAATAAACCATCAAAGGTCAAGCTAAAGCACACTTCATCTGTCTTTCAGTTTTCATGGCTTTCCACTGCTGTCATTCCTTCCAGAAGAAAGCAAACCTCACTTCCTGCAGCCTTTAAGACCCAGATGCCCTGTGACACTGTTGCCCTTGCTATCATCTTCAGCAGAATAGTTTCTTCATCAGGCTTAGAGTTTTGTGTCTTCAATCTTCTTCTGATTACCAATAAAAGCTCAAGATTATAATTATTTTCAAAAAGCTGATGCCATAAATACTATATATACTATTAGACAATTGAAAAATCAATAGAGTCATCCTGTCTAGATGTCATTTGGACTAGTTCAGAACATTTTCAATATATTGAAAATTGCAGTTAAATGTTACATTACATTTTAATCATGAGCAGACAAAACTCCTGCTTTTTTACTAATATGATTTAAGGATCCCTTTTTATTTATTATTTTCAGTTTTAATTTTCCTCATTTTTGTTATCACAAAGCCTTGTTGGTATGCCAATGAGCAGCCTTTTACTCAGTGTTAATGACTTAGCAGTAGTAACTCACACATCAACACAGCATGTAGTTTTAGATGTTAAAAAGTTAATGAGGGCAGTCTTAGGCATTGTCAAGATTTAAAAGAAAGCCAATGACTTCACTGAGTCCTGAATTTCCTCAACGTCTTCTAGAAGGGCACTTTATATCCAATATACAACATATGATGTAGCTAAATGGTGATATCTTTGCTAAACACAAGAACAAACAAAAACATAAGGAAACATAAGGAGTTTTAAAAACAAGAACAAACAAAAACATAAGGAAACATAAGGAGTTTGAAGGCTGCATATTCCTTTTTCAGATGTAGTAGTGTAATCTTTGAGCTTTATGCTAACTAAAAGGGAAGTGGCATTCCCTGATAAGGTTTTCCAAGGCCTCTGTGTGCTGTCATAGAATGACTATGATGACTATTGATAGAAAACATTCTAAAAGCATTTAGTAAACATTAGCACAACTAACACCTGTTGAAAAATTCCAAGTGGGTTAGCAAGGATTTAAGCTAAGCAAATATAAAGACACAATGTGAGGTTTGAGTGTAGATTCAAAACCTCAAGTCTCTTTATATATCATTCATAAATTTAAAACAAATCATAAAGAAAAAACCAAACAATCTGCATCAATTTTATAATTTTGTTGCCCTCTAAATACAGATCAGGAGGGGAAAATTCTGAAGAATAGAATGATTATTAATTTTCTCAACATGCAAATTTCTAATATTAAAAGCAAAATGTAGAATACAAAGTTTTCATGCATGAAAATTTTCTTCTCTCCAAACCTTCGTACAAGTGCTTCTGTCAAAACACCATATTCCAAATCACCCTGTGCAAGTGAAATCACCCTCTTTTACTTTTTCATTATTTTGAATCATTAATCTACGCTTATATATCAGTGTCTGTATTTGAGTTTCTTAGTGCAGTGGTTTCAGAGGCCAGAACAGGGCATCAAATCACCAAAGTTGGAGTTGTAGGCAATTGTAAGAAGCCTGACAAGAGTGCTTGGAACTGAACAGAGATTCTCTGGAAGGGAAGTAAGCACTCTTAACAACTGAGCCACCACTCCAGACCCATGAATATCAACTTGATATGTACTGCATCTTCTCTAAGAATACTTTGGTAAAAATTTATTAATTCACAATATAAACATATATGTATACAACATATTTATATGTACATATATACATATAAATCTATTTATGTATTTTTCTGAACTTTTGTATATTCTGCTATATCTGTATAAGTGCTATTTTATACATGTATATTTTTATTCATGGTCTATTTGAAGGATATTCATTCCATTGTGAAATAGTTTTCTTCAAGATCTCGAGTTCAAATCAGGAGCATTGGAAAAAGAAAATACCTTTCTTAATCATTAACAATAAGTTCATGTACACAGAACACTAAAACATTAGATTTTTTGCTGTTTATTTCTTTCCTTGTAAATTGTGAGTGTCATTGTCCCTAGAATGTGACTGTTTCAGGATTACATTTTGCTTTCTTCACTGCACAATAGACAACATATAATACAAACATTTCAACATGACACAGAAAGTAAAAATGTGAACTGGATTATAAAAAAGGCAAGATTCTTAATCTGGCTTTATTATGTGGTCTTTCAAAGATTATATTAACATTAATAACTTTTACTCAATGTCAGAGAAATATATTTTTCTCATAAAAGTTTTAGAAAGCTTAGATAAATAGCCTGTATTATTGTTCATTATCTTGGTAAAAAAGTCTATATCTTACTGAAACAGAGCTGTAGTAGTCACTTATTTCCTCTTAAAACTAGATGCAGAGGCAACTCTGTGTGGAACCAGAAATGTACTTTCATCAGTCAGTGATATTACTTCAGAAGTTAAAAGAAACCTTTCAATCACTGATTTCTCATTGATAGGCATAGCTTATTAAAAGTATTTACTCGATGGTGTTTAAGAATGAATAAACATGTTTTATCTAAAATTTTGAATTGATTATAAAAATAAAATGCTAGTTATCCAAAATCATTTCAAAATCAATCAAAATTTAGATTTGGAATTTGGGTATGTTGACTCTGCTCTTACTTTCCGAGATATGTACTCTTAAGGCAGCCAAATGTTGTCTTATTTTTCTTATCTTTGAATACAGAGCTGGAAAAATAATCATTCCTATGATTTTAATATTACTATCTAAGATATTCCTCCCACTAAATTTTGGTTCAATAAAATGTTAACCTACATTGTGAGTGGTTTTTACTTGAAATTTTGATTTCAAATGCCTTTTACTACTTTATCTTAATTTATAATCCATCCAATAGCATCATATTGGTCATGCATTTGAAATCAGTTCAGAACATGAAAGATATACGAAGGGTAATTAAGAAAGTCACAAAAATGATGGAATAACCCCAGTGACATGCTGGATGTAGATTCATCAATGGAACAATCGTATGTTTCTCTACTTTCTTGCAATGGGTCAGGCAGAGAGATTTCATACTGAACAACATGCAAGACACTGAAGAAATATCATATATGTATATGTTTTAGGTAACCTGTGTAAAAGTGGTCACATGTGTCTCTGCGTAGTTAAAGCACAGAGCTTTATCCTGGAGTTCCACTGTGGTTTTACCCTTGCAGAAGTGAGAAGGTTAGGTCCTGAAGTTGAGAAAGGCAGAACGAGGAAACAGTCAACTGTGACTTAAAGTGTGTAAGGTCTTATACCTTCAAGCAGAAACTTAGTATCTGTCTGAAATACATGTTATGTATTCACCATTAGGTAATACATTTGGAACACAGTTAAAACAAAAGAAATGTCATTAAAGTAGACAGAAAAATAGTCATCCAGTTTGCTAATTCTGTTATTCAGCAAATGAACATGTACACCATCATATACTATGCAATGTCCATATTTGTCCTTCAATATAATAATGTTTTAAAAATAGATTATGTACACTATTTACTGTGTGAGAGTAATATTATATAATTTGTGAAAAATACTCTTAAAATTTCCCCATATATTTTTAGTTGTCATGTTTAAATAACTTCAAGAGTTTAAACATCACAGCAAGAATGTAGTACTTACAAACCTATGAAATCATAAAGAATAGGAAATTTTGATTTAGGTATTACAGACCAATATTTTATTCCCTAGTAAAGAGGGAAAGATTTTTCAAAGAGTTTGGAATCAAACTGAGAAAAAGAAATGACCTGAGTTTACTTTTCTAGAACAGTAACTGACTTTGGGGAGTTAATGCATAAAGAACAGGATCAAAGCCCACCACCCCCAGCACAGTACAATTTGGCCCGTCAAGAGCGTTTCTGGTAAGGACAATTATACTCTACAAAGTTCAATACTAAGTGAAAATGTAAATTGCCCTTTAACGAAAGGATGAGAAAAAAACTTCGGTAAATCTAAAGAGATACAGACTTAATAACAATGAAAAAAGCAATTACAGTAAGTTTGTATAAAATATTTAACTTTGATGATTATATAAATTAAAGTAACTTTTTATCAAATCAATAAAATGAATGCATTTCATATCGGGCATGCACTTCATGTTTTCTTCAGAGACGATGGCTTTCAGACTTAAATACTAAATGAGAGGAGGGATAAATGAGTGAATTAGGAAAGTGAAGTGAGTGCTTGGTAGTTGGCCTGCGATTTCCTTCTGTGACATGGCCGGCCAGTGAATTTACCCCTGTGTGTCAGGGTTCGGTTCATGGGCCACCTCTTCCAGTCTAAAGACATGTATACCTTATTTTGGAGTCCCTCAGTGGGATAGGATAGGATCGATTATAAGATGTGCTAATTCTGCCCATGTTGCAATGGTCTGCTGATTTATCACAAATATAAATTGTCATGTTAAAATTATTTATTTTAATCAATTTTGCTTAATATTTACCTTTAGAGTACATGAACTTATAGTGCAGATAATGGAAATCAAATGCTTAAAAGGATCAAAGTATTTAATGACTGTAATTTATGATAGAAAACTATACACCTGTCTTATGCTGAGCACATGGTCAGAGAAAATATTAATCTTGCTCTTTATGGTTTATGATTTCAAGTACTGGATGAAATAATTTGAGTTAGTTGCATAATATTTAGGCAATTAAAATAAATATGATACCTATAGACTAAAGTTTTCTTTTCATTTTCTTTATGTTATATTGAAATACATGAATTGAATTTAAGGGATATAAAAATGGTTGGATATTTGCAGTTCCTTAACCTTAAACTTCATATACCCTTATTTTATGTGTTTTTTAATTAACTAAGTAAATTCAACTTTTTCCCTAGTAACTTCATATTATAGTTTTGTATAACAAGATATTATATGATATGGGAAATACATTTCCCCCAATTGTATCCATTATCTATATCTGCTAGAGCATAGCACCACTTTGCCAATCACTTTCATGCTTCCTTGTAATAATGCAAACCTTCATGAAGAGAAAGGAGAAAAAGTACAAAACTAATGTCTGGATTTCATGGATGCTTCTGTATCACATGTCAATCTTGTCAATAAGTCTGAGAGGTCAGGCTAAGAAACCCAGAGTTATTCCAGCAGTATGCTTCTCAGAACACGTAATCAGGCAGTGACCATAAAGGCCTGAATTTTGTCTAGAGGAGTTTGCAATATTTTATTAATAATATACAAAAAAGTAGAGGCATATTGTCATAACACATGATTACCCTTTATTCAAATATATAAACATAAATGCATATTGGGCTATAAATAGGTACTGATAATACTAAATGAAACATCAGAGTTAGTAGTCCTGAGAAAAATATATTTAAGGATTAAAATCAGTCAATAAATCTTGGAGTAAGGCTGTTATAAGTTATCAAATTTAAGCTAGCAAAATACAGCACTTAAGAATGATTATGGAACCAGGCAGTGTTGGTGTACACCTTTAATCCCAGTACTCGGGAGCCAGAGGCAGGTGGATCTCTGTATGTTCAAGGTCTGCCTGATTTACATAGTGAGTTCCAGGACAGAGTCCAAAGATATACAGAAAAACCCTGCCTTGAACCCTCCCCATAATGATAGTGATTATGGAGGTGCAATCTATGCAAGCAAATCAGAATTGAGGATTCACTTGCAATCAGAAGTGCAACGTCAGACTCCCAATGAATCAACAAATGTCAAATTTCATATAACAGAATACCTGATCATGAATTTCACTGTTGCAAGGGGTGGCAGAAGGCCATTTTATTCCTATTTACTGTCTTGCCTTTCTATGGCATGTAGGACTGAGATTACAATTTGGCATTCATACAGAAAAGTTTCCAGAAACACCTATAGGAAACATACTTTATTAGTCTTTCAGAGTCTCAGTCACCTACAAATATGGTCATCAAATCTACTATCTAGGGTGAAGAAGAATGTGTGCTGGATAAGTCAGATTGCCTGGTAAATGCATTTCATCCTGCTTAAATGTGCTTTCTCCCTCTCCACCTCCCCTTCCTGGCATCCACCTCTCAGGTGTTACAGGAGACCACAGAAGACCACATGGCTCTCTTTTCTGGAGTGTATAGATGCTGTAGAGTGTTGGCCAGTTACTCCTTTTTTTGGTGAGCCCCTCATTGATCTGGCTTCCAGAAAGTTTGGCTACCAAAGTCCGAGTTCTCTGAAAATTGCTGGGTCAGAAGTGAGCTACCTTGTCCAATGTCATGTTCCTTCCTCTGGAAGACAGAGTAGGAGCCTGAATCTTGCTACCAGTCTGGAACTGGCCAGACCTCCTCCTTGCTTTCTGTTGAGACTACTCCAAGAACTATGCTAGCATTGGAGATTCTGAAGGAGCATGCCATTTACTGTGGTGCTTCTCACATCTTGTTGCTGTGCAGCGTTTCCTGAGAACATTCTCCATCAGGTAATCCCATAACTTTCTATGAATGACTCCAGTGATTGACACAGCGAAGCATACATGATTTCAACCTTTCTGTACTATTGACTCTTCCTTTTCCCTTTAGGCTTGTGTTTCCAGATATCTACCACTCAACTTCTTTGGAGACAGAAGAGAAGTTCCAAAGTACAGTCTATAAACTGCCAAGTCCCTAAAATTTAACTGCTTTCTGTATTATCAGTTTCCTTGATTTTATTTTTTGGCTTTTTGAGATGGGGTTTCTCTCTCTGTGTATTACTGGCTGTCCTGGAACTCCCTCTGCAGATGATGCTGGCCTTGAACTCAGAGACCCACCTACATGTGCCTCCCAAGTGCTAGGATTAATAGGATTCATGACTACCACCACCTGCATATTTTAATGCCATAATTACACATTCCTTTTTTTTAAAGCCAAATACACAGTGTATCTATTCCTCCCTAGCAAAAAAGTAACAAAAATGTTTAGTCACCCTGGCACCTTTTTGTGTTTCTTTATTTGGAATAGTCTTTGGCAACATGTAGTTTTGGTTTATGAGGCTCAAACCATGTGTCATTACAGAGGACAGTCCTTTGTAATAGAAGAAGACAGAGAGGTTCATGGTGGACACTGTGTCACATCAGAATTAGGGTGTGGAGATACTACTGAAAGTGGAGATTGCCATCACCCACCATCTGGATTAGAAGCAGCAGAGTGGGTGGGGTCTTTCCCTAGTGCTTTTAGATGGATGGTAGCTCTGACAGCATCTTGAATCCAGATCTCTGGAGTCAAGAACTATCAAAGAATGTGATCTGAGTCACTGAGTTTGTTTCTGAAACTCTAGAATATCAGTACACCATTAAAACAGTACACAAGCTCACACATCTTCATCCAGAGCTCTTTATATTTGAACTTGCTGGTTAAATCATACAGTAGGGCTTTGTAGCTGAGAGAAAGTAAGATTATTTTCCTCTCTCAGCAGCTCAGCCCAATTCCTGGAGCATAGTAAATTAAAATATGTATTATTGAGGGAATGGATACAGTTTTTGCTCCATCTAAGATGCTAAAGAGGAAGCAATTCATTGCTGATGGGAAAGGTCTGTGGAGCATGAGAATGCTCCCAGAATACTTGCAGCAGGAGTCTGAGTGAGAACCATCAATCCAGTGTCTACATACTGAGATGCAGTGGCAGTTTTAGTCTCCTGAGTACACTGTAGATGACAGTGTGTCTTTTCTGGCTCAGAGGTGGACTGTGACTTTAGAGAAATGTGCCCTTTTATTGGGAGTTGTTTAGTAAGGACTGACTAAGATACTTTGCCAAGTCATTCTGTACTCATTTAATTGTTTTCCTCAGCTAGCAAACCTGCTTGTATGAGAGGTGACACAAAAAAGGATTGAAATATCTCTATGAAGCATACTGGAAATAGGCTATAGCCACAAAGGGCAGGGCTTTGGGGAAACGAGGGCAAGATGGAGAGGTTTCAAAGGTCAGAGGTATTTTCCCTCTGGTCAAAATGTGGGTTCTGAACCAGAAGATGTTTTATATTAGGTACATTCTGCTTAGGGTCATCAATTCTCATTAGGAATGTGCTGACATTTAAGGGTAGAAAATGAAGATACTTCCAAGGGAGGGATTAAACAACTGGGAATCTGGAAGGGAGAGTGGGAGCTAGAGATTATGCTGATTATAGCAGAGAAGGTTTGCGTGAAAGAGAGGCATACTTCAGACAAATGCAGTCTGTGTTCCTCAGCTCCCAACTGAAGAACAAGGCAGACATTGAAAATTCATCTCAGGAAAATTTTAATCTGGAAAAACTAAATCAAAAGAGCCCAGAGTTTTCACAGTGGTCCAAGGTCATAATTGTGACATACTAGGAAGACAGAGATAACTTTGGCTGTCATTTTTCAAAAGATGTATGTCCACCTTGTTTGGAGAGACAAAAATAGATTTTGTCAGTGATGACAAAATTTCAGTCACTAGCTTTGATTGAAAGAAAAATGACCAGGTCAAAACAAAAATCCTCCTGTCTGTTAATAAGCAACTTCAAGTGGCTTTGGTTGGTTTTCCTGTTTTATAAATTTTTTTACAACTAGGATTTTAGGCTTAATTTAGAGAGTTATTGCCTTCCAGGCAATTGAAACTTCCTAGCTTCCATTGTTTTCGGGAGAAAATTGTTGAGTTAATTTCCTTTTTTTATATGACACTAAATTCAGAGATATGCTACTGACAATTTGTTTATGCATGTAGATTTTCTGCAAATTGAAATTAGTACTTTTTTCTATTACTTTCTCCATGTAAAAAGATTTTAAATAAATAAAGGATTTTCATCCTGACTTGATCATCAGACAGAAATGAATTAATCAATTCCTTTGTTTACTAAGTGATATATTTAATCATTTATTTAATTAATAAATCATTATCATGACATATATATGTACTATATTGACTATGATTGTTTATATATGTATGTGACTGTGAATTGCCTATTACTATGCCATATAGCCTTTTTGATATATTGGCTATAAATTCATGGATGATAAGTCTTAATAGGTTTAAACAGATTGATGACACTTGATAAATATCTATCCAATAATTTCTATTATGACTAAAATAGGAAAATTATAAAAATATGACAGGGAATAATTTTCAAATAATAGTCAGTGATGGCTTTTGGTTGTTGTATTTGAAACAAATGAAATATAATTGAGCATATACATCAAGTTGCTTAGACACACATAGAATGAGGCTGGAGAAGAAGATGCAAATGTGTTTTTACAGTTTCTGTCCTTAGCTCACGACACCATTTAATGCAGCCCCAAATTTCTCAAGAAATGCAAATTTAAATCAAAATAACAAATCAAGGAGAGGCATAAAATTATACAGAACTCAGAATTAGACGAGTTTCAGTCAACTAGAGCAGAGTTTAGGAAAGGCTCAACAGGTAGGTGTCTGAAGAGCTTTGCATACATTCACATAAGCTGTGATTTAGGTGCTAATGACTTTACAGAAGAATTTCAGATTCAAATTTGAAACATTTATGCAGAATTCGTCCACAGAAGGAAATCTCAAGCAAAGTAGCACAGGTAGACAATGGTTGTGGCTTACAGGGAAATTTACTTGGTACTGGGAAGGCTTTGCAGGAGAGCAGGAGGAAGTGTTGGTAGTCAAAGCTGCTTGAGTCTCTAGGGGGAAGGTTTACAGAAACTGTGGATGACTCTGTCATGGGAAGCACATGATTAGGAATGAACTGAAGTGAAATTAGTTTTCATACATGGAGTAGATGAGAAATGGAGGCAGCAGAACAAGTTGTAATGGGCAGGTAGTGAGTATTAAGGTAAGAATGGTAGAGATGACAAGTTTGACAGGGTGTGGACTAAGACTGTGGCAACAAGGAAGGGACGGAGGATGGGAGGGTCAGATGTTTAGCTAAGTAGGTTAAAGCCAATGATTAAGAAAAGAGCAAGAAAACCTTATCTGAATGGTTAGCAAACTGTTTGAGATGACACACACCAACTGTCTCTTAGCACTATCCAATGCTAGACCTGAGAACACCAGATATCTCAAATGTTAGTTCATCTACAAACTGTTAGTACAACAATCTATGGACAGTGGCCTTACCTCTTTGCTGTAGTCGCTATCTGAGTCACTACTAAGTTCTTCAGTGTTCATATTTTCCAAATCAGATTCCCCAGGTGCAATTGGCACTGTCACTGTGAGGCTGGGATTATGAATAAAGGACTGGTAATCATTTTCATCCATAAAGCTCTTGTCTATACTGCTCCCAAAGCCACTCATTTTATCCTTTTCTTTGTGATCTTTGCTCATCTCAGCAAGTGTACGGTTTGAGATATAGTTTTCTTTTTTGTTGTTTGGATCTACCGTTCGTTTTGTATCCTTGGAGCCCTTTGGTTTTTTGGAAAATGCTTTTAGGATAAATTCACGTAAGGTCCGTTTTACATAATTTATTCCTCTTTTAATTCTGGCCACTGCAATCTGGAGGTTGTTTGCATCGGTGTCTTCTTCAATTGCTGTAAGATTGTCAGAACTAAATGAACTCAGTAATAAAGCCAGAAACAGGTTCAGGACCTATATCAGGGTAGATGTGGGTGGGGAGAAACAGGGACACGGGAGATACAAAGAAGCACACTTTTCAGAAATATAGGTCACAATAGAAACCCACAATGACAAAAGGCAGAGCATCTTTTCATGTACTTGTTAGAACTCTCTCCACATACAGACATGGGGGTTTGGGCAGCAGGGATTAGCAATCAATACTCCTGATAAACTGAGGAGCAGAGAATCATGCCCTTTATTAGTTTTTTTTTGTTCTGGCATATGAGCCAGTCAAGTTCCCTTTAATGCATTTCAAAGGGTCTCTTCACTCACTTCTGGGAAGCAAACTGGGTGAGGAAATTAGACTACTGTCATTGTGCTGACCATTCAGGTCAAGATTTAAGCACACTGAACATAATTCCTTCAAGAAAGTGGAACTGATTGGCTGCCTTTATTGAGTATCGCTTAGGTCCTGGAAGAAGTGGCCAAGAAGGTTAGGACAATTTGCATCCTTGAAGCAAGGTCTTTTTTGAAAGCAAAGTCATTTCTGTCTTTCATTTCTGAATGAAGTATCCAAGAGAATTCCCAGTTTTAAGATTCTTCACAGAGGGCAGAAGACATGTAAATTGTTTTAGAGGTTTTACATGAGGGTCATGAGCATAACTGAATGACAATTAAATACAGGTGTCTACCTCATATTTCTTCAAGGTCCTAAATATCTGCCTCATATTTTTTTCATACAGGCCAGGAGATTGGATGGAATTGAGTGGTAAAAGGGAGAAAGATGACTGCTTAAAAGTGCTTGCTGCTTCCTAGCTGAAATCCTGTGAGCAGCCAGACTCCACATGCCCTATTTGCCATTATGAGCTGTAACTGCTAAAATAGAGTCCAAATAGATCTTTCCTCCTTTAAATGTTTATGCCAGGTGTCTGTTACAGTGTTTCAAAGTCTGGCTAATACAGAGTCATAGAAAACAATTTGGGTAATTGTTAAGAGCTTTTAGGTACTTTAAAGCTGTTGTCTTTTTAGTATTTTATTAAGAACATATGTTTGTGTTTTACTAGGAATATCAATGAAGTGCTACTACAAAGAACCTTTTCAAATGAGTTTCTCTCTTTAAACATTGATAATGAGTGAAGCCACAGGAAAAATATAAATGATAGCTGGGTGGTGGTGGCACACGCCTTTAATCTCAGCACTTGGAAGGCAGAGGCAGGTGGATCTCTGTGAGTTCAAAGCCATCCTGGTCTACAGAGTGAGTTCCAGGACAGCCTCCAAAGCTACAGAGAAACCCTGTCTTGAAAAACCAAATATATATATATATATATATATGTATATATATATGAATATATCCGTGCTTCTACAAAACCTTGTATGGACACTAAAAGTTGGAATTCACATGATGAACATATGTCATAAAATATTCTTCATTTATTCTTTTTATACATTATAAAATTTGAAAATCCTTCCAACTCAAAGGGCCTTATATAGGCAAGGACGCTGAGCTTTGCCCAGTTGCTAATTTTATGAATACAAGGACCAATAAGCAATGTTCTCATTGGTCTTGTTCTATTAGTTTGTGATCATTATTTAATCATGCATTATTTGCCACTGTAGCTTCACATTTGAAGACATTTCATGTTTTTTTCTTTTTAAAATTTAAATTAGAAACATGCATGTTTCAAATGTCAATCCAAGCTCTCCCCCTTCTCCCTCCCAGCCCCACCCCCACCCCATCACCCCTAGCCCTATCCCCATATCTTTCCCAAGGAAGGGTGAGGCCCTCCTTGGGGGGATCTCGAGAGTCTGTTATTTCATCCAGGGCAGAACCTAGGCATTTCCCCTTGTGTCCATGCTGAGAGAGCATCCTTCCATGTGGAATGGGC